TTATTATTATTATTATTATTATTATTTCTTATGTTCCCTTTATGGTAAGCCAGGCCTGTTGCATTTGGGCCCTTCTACTCATTCTGCTTGGTTGGACCCCGATGCTTTGTGTGCAAACTCAAGAACAGAGCTGCTTAGTTAAGATCAGCCCTACTAGGAAGCAAAATTTTACATGTACAAGTTCCCTTTTCCTTTAATTCGCATTATCTCTTTTGTCATAAGGATTTTAAAGGTCATCTGCCCCAATTCTTTAGTATTTTGTAATGGGAATTAAGAGGTGGGTTAGGAAGAAGTCTAATAATGCTGCAGATAAACAGCCTTCTTAAAAGTATTATTTCTTATCCAGAAACTAGTTATCATAGACTTTGCTCTCTGAGAATACACAGATGCTATCAGTGGCATGAGCAGTTGTGTACTAAAGGTATAAAGATTCCTACAGGCTTGACTGTGACTCAGAATGAGGCATGCATAGCATGGGGGAGAGATCTCCAGGGACAAGAATTCTTTAAGACTGCCTGTCTGCTCTAGCGTGTATTAGGATATGCATGACCTTAGAGTCAAAGTAGAAAAGCCACTCAGAATGTGCAGGGATGGATATACAGCATCTGTTGGAAACACGTCTTTTCTTGGGTCATGCAGCAAGTACAGAGCACAGCTGTGTGAGGCCAGGTAAAGATACAGCTGTCTTGTGGGCATATCTTCATATTCTCCAAGTTACATTTCTCCCTTTGAATCTGAAGTGCTACACGCATAGACCTAGTGGGTACTAGGATGAATCTCCTTTTTTTTACTTAATTTATCACCAGTGCATTTGACTTAATTTATCACCAGTGCATTTAAAATCTATTCATCAGCCTATCTGTCAGGTTCAATTTTTCCCACCTACTCCTTCAGCCTTACCCAGTCACAAATAATTGCCAGCCAAATCCTTTTGATCCTCTGATTTATGAAGTTACAGAAAATGGATATAATTCTAGGAGAAGGGTTAGGCATTTTTCCTTCCAAAGAACCAAGAAAGCAAAATGTTATAAGTTTGCCAGAACATTTAAATACAAATATAATATATTAAAAGCATCAGCAGTGGCTCTCTGTTTCCTGTAATGCAATGAAGTAAATGAAACATTTGCATCTTTTCTGAAAAATATTTTTAAAAGTATATATTGAGATGGCAGGAAAAAGACACCAATGTAGAATCCAAACACAGGAATGTGGTGCTCACATTGTATAACTCAGGAGAGAACACGAAGAGGAGTAAGAGGAAGGAGGAATGATACAGCTGTCAAATGTGATGCTTTGATCATCATTGTAATAAGCTTTTGCTCTCAGGCTATCATCGGTTAAAAAGACAGGCTGAATTTGTATTGCAGCATTAATGCCATCAGAGGAGCTGAGAAGTGTGACCCTTCCCAGACTCTGGAGGAAAGAATAAAAAAAGGCAATATCCAGTTGAAATGCTTGTGGCTTGGCAGTGTCTGTTGAACAAAGAAGAACTCCTTTCCCCCACAGGAAAGCTGGAGGAGTTCCACTATTTGCTGCATGATAATAATGTGGCAAATTGCTCTTTTGGACTACCATTGCTCTTCCTATTATATTTTAGTAGGCAGCGGCCATCTTTTCTTCCTATCTTCTCTGGATGATAAGATGGTAATCTAAAGCTCAGTAATATGTCTTGCTTCCCAGTGTGATTAAAAGCATTGTGCTCTGATTTTGTTTCATTTCTAGAACACCTTAAATAAATAAGTAAAACATCCAACTTCTATTCTAGCTACACTGTCTGTATTGGAATGAGTAGCCTGCCGTCCCAAGGCTACATGTACCCTCCCAAACTGTTTTGAAAGTCCTTGGAGGTCTCTTGAATGGTCTCCGGGGTATGATAATCAAAGAGCTGGTATTGTAATTAACAGTTCTATTGGGAAATATCACTAATGGCTCACCTCAAATGGGAGAAAAAAAATAAAAGGAAATTCCTGGTCCCACCACCTTGCATTGCACAGTCCACTCATTTTATAACACTCCATCCACTTTGGACAACATTTTCACAGACATATGGGTGCAGTATATAACTTCAAATGGCTATTTCATTGAATTGTCATGATATTATAACCCTGACCTGTAGTCTTCCTAAGATGTTCTTTTTGTAGAACAATACTACTGTTTGTCTCTCTTAAATACTTGCATACTCCTCCAGAAAGTCATCTCTTATTCAGATATCTGAGATAAAGCCCATCAAATTCCCCTAGCAACAATCAAGGCCCAGAGAAGAACAGCAAATGAACAACACCCTCTGACCTTAGGTTAATAAGGTTTATTATTAAAAAGGTGATAATACAAGAACTCCAGCAAATAACGTGGAACTTATTTATTGGCAACTCAAAGCCATTGGATTCTGGCTTTCTCCTGTACTTTTGGTTTAATGGAAAGAAAGCCAGTATAAGAAGGTAGGCCAGCTTGCCCTTGGGCTTTGTTTATATAATGATTGCTAGCCACAATATCAGTGTGAGAATCCTCTCCTACAGAGCCCGGTGAAGAAATGAATACTTACTGATAGTCATCAGGGAATTCACACAACCCATTCTTCCTCCCCCATATTAGCGCTATATGAGTGAAGGAATGGTTGGATGGCCGCACTTGAGGAGATAAGCATTCCCACGCTCCTGTTGAGGGCTAAGGGAATGCTTATCTCCTCGAACGTGGCCTTCATCCAACCATTCCTTCACAATACGCTAGGATTTGGTTTAATGCCTCTGTGCTGGCCTGGAGAGGAAAGAGCAGCTGTAGCACCTTAGTGAATGCATACTATTGATGGAGTGGGACTCCTGCGAAAAAATTTAGCTTCAGCCCAGGCGCTCAACTTGTATGAATAAATTTAGGTGACTGTTGAAGAACCTTACTTAGAAGGAACTGATAGCACTTCATTTCTTCTGTCATGTTTTAGCTTAGTCTGATAACAGTTGAGATACACAAAATGACCGTATATTTTTATATTCATATTGATTTAGTTAACATTTTCTGTTTGGAAGTCGAATCAAAGCCCAAAGTTTTCAAAGCACCATTAGTTTCAACTAAGGAAATATCCAAAGATGATTACAAGCCTAGACTTCTTAATTTTGTATTCTTCTGACTATAAGGCATAGTATAATAGTTGAGGTATAATAACATCTTGTGCCTGAGAAAGGAAAACAAATCTATTTTTATCTTGTGCTGCAATCCTGAATTAATATTTTGGCTAGATGCTTAAGTACATTTTTCAATTTCTGCATATCCCTTGCTGTGATTCATTAAAGTTATGAGTCAATAAAAATGGCAAGACTCTTGTCTTCCCTCTGAGGAAAATCAGTTGACAGAATTAATTCTTATAATGAAAGTAATAGTGGGAAACCTTGTGGGAACATGCTTTTAGTATTTTTATGGGAACTGGCCATAAAGTTGAATGGCCTCTGTCTCTGGTTCTAAGCCATAGATATGTATTTGCAGCAGCTCATCACCTGTATTGCTGTTTCCACAAGGAGAATTTGCATGAATGGAGCCAAAGAGAACATTTTGGTGCCTGTGTAATGTTGATACAGTTCCTTCTGCCTGCATGATGTTCTTCCCTATTCCCCTTTTCTGCCTTGTGCTCTCTTTGATCAATTTCTGTTCCAAACTATATTTGAGTGGTACAATCTCTTACACCAGTTGGGGTGAACATTTTGCTTTCTTGGTAGGAAGTGTAGAAGAACAAGTGAAGTGCTAAAAAAGTATCCTGTACAGATTCTTCATTCTCAAGTTCCAATTTTGGATACTGAATTGTAGACCTTAAATAACAAGCATAACAACAATAATAATACTAATTATATATTAAAGTTGTATGCCACCCGGCTCTTAACGGCTCTGGGAAGATATTACTGCTGATAATTGCTTAGTCTAGAACTGAGATTCTCTTAGTTTTTGGACTGGTGAGCACATCTGGAATTTTGAGAGCGTATTATGGGTGCTCACACAAAACAGGAGGGTTAACTATTCCTAAAATGCCTGTCACAAAGTGCCAATTTAACAGGGTGAATGGGTGGGAATGTGCCCTGCTACTCTCTAGCCCAGTGTTTCTCAACCTCAACAACTTTAAGATGTGTGGACTTCAACTCCCAGAATTCCCCAGCCCGCCAGTTCTGGGCATTGAAGTCCAAACATCTTAAAGGTGTAGAGGTTGAAAAACACTGGGCTAGCCCCTCAGGATCCTTATTATCAGCTTGCCAACTTTCCTTTGTCTTTTTGAATGGCAAGTATCATATTTACAAGTGGTTGGGCTGCAGCTTCCCACCATTTTCATTTGCTAGGAATGGCCTTCAGAGTTGTGACAGATGCTTCTGATTTACTGGCTCAGAAAGGGATAATGTATTACAGTAACACAGGTGCAATTTTGGATAACCCTAACCCTAAGGTCCAGGAAAAATGACAGGTGCAGGCTCTTGCAGTTCCTTAAAAAACAAACTTGGGGGAAAAAAATAGATGTAGAAGGCAAAGGAGGGAAAAGCTGAAATCATCTCCTCAGTTGGGCTGCTTAATTTGCAGTGGCATCTATATAGTTTCAACAGCTTAATAATATGTATGTTGTTGCCAAGGGTTTCAAGGGCATCTCTTTTGGAGAAACAATTATTAGACTAATGATCTCATTGTTTAATCAAACTGCTACATTTTAAGTAATATGGTCTCAGTGAACGGTGGCTTCTGTTACTACAAAAGCAGTTGTTCCATTGACTATCTCCACTCACTATGAATTGTGCATGAATTCTTATACTTCTTTCCCTTTTGTTTTTCTTTTTAAGCTGAAATAAAAATCTGCTTTAAATACTACCATGGCATAAGTGGAGCCCAGCGTGCAACAACTCCATGTATCACTGTGAAAAACCCTGCTGTGATGGTAAGTATACATATTGCTGACAATGGATCAATCTATTTAACACTAACATTAAACCTGTTAATTTAGGTTAACAAATAGTATTTTCCAGTAAATTATCTGATTTAATGAGGATGTCAACATAAAGATGTGATGAGTGATATCTTGCTGCTAAAGGGCATTTCGGTTACATTTCATTTATTCTTACTGTCTGATTTTAATGTATCTTGGATTTTATCATTTTATTTTATCTGTGAAAGTTGTTTGGGTTAGCTTAGTGGCTTCCCAAAACCTGGGCATGGTTTATCACATGCCATCTCTGCTGTCCTACTTGAATAGTCAGATGTCATAATTATGCCTCCTTGCCTTTTGCTAGCCTGCTTTTCTTTAGGCTGAGTAAAAGTAAATATGTCCCTGAATAGAACTTGATTCCAGCTGACAATCTGGAGTGAGCCCTGAATGCCCTTGTGGGATGTCCCATCCAAGTGCTAACCAGAAATAAATCCCCTTAACTTTGGGGCATAAACAAAGTTGGTCACCTTAGGCTGAGTAGATTACCATAAAACATGTTTTCCTCCTCTTTATTTCCCTCTCTCTGCCTGATTCACTTTTATTCATGAAAATAATACTGTGGTAGCTTAACAACCTTGTAGAGTCAGTGCGATGTGGTGGTTAAGGTGCCAGGCTAGAAACAGAAGATTGTGAGTTCTAGTCCTGCCTTAGTCATGAAGCCAGCTGGGTGACCTTGGGCCAGTTGCTCTCTCTCAGCCCTGGGAAGAAGCAGGCAAGGGCAAACCACTTCTGAAAAGCCTTGCCAAGGAAATTGCAGGAACATGTCCAGGCAGTCACCAGGAGTCAACACTGACTCAGGCACAAATATGTATTAACAACCTTGGTAATGAAAAAACAAAAGTATCTTCCAAGTATCTTACTGAATACTCCAGGCAAGTTAATTTCACGGTCGCATTTATTCCTTATTCTGTCCGATTCATAAAACAAACATACTATATATTATATATATTTGATCACAGTTTGTTGTAGGATGGAAAATGCAGGTGGAGCCCAACTGCAATTGTGTTCAATTTGGATAATTACAACATGAGTTTTAGAAATGTATGTTATCTCTTGTACCAGTCTTCCCTATGCTTGCTAGAGATGCAGTAGGCTTGCCCTATTATTTGGAGGCATTATTGTGTATTGTATACATTCAATTTAGACAAAGAAAATATTAAAAATTGACTTTTTTCTTAATGAATGATGAGAAAAAAATCTGTTGGTCCCTTGCTGATAACTCAGCCAGTGTTTGGTGGCAAACACAAAAAGAGCAGTGCAATTTGCTACTCTCTGCAAAATAGGTAAAATAGATGCATTAAGCCTCCACTAAACCTGAAACTCAAGATTCCAGCTCTGCTTTCTCGGGTGATGACATTACTGTCCCTGGCAGCCCTAGATCACTGAAAAAGTTGATTAAAAAAGTGCTGCCATTGGCCGGCAAATAATTGTGCACCCTTGAAATAAACAATGGCATAATAGTTAAGATGGGCCAGTCAGTATTATTCAGGTTAACGCCAGAGGGTTGTTATGAAATTAAGAGATATCCCTGCATAAATCACCTTCAGCTCCTGGAGGAAGGTGGGATAGACATCTGATAAGTAAAGGAAATGATAATATCAATTACATATGAACATGAATATTGATGGTAAGAATAATTAATGGTAACAACAATAATGTAACCTATATGTGAGATTGTATACATAGTTCCATAGATAAAAAGATTCACCATCTTCTGTGTAAATTTGTCAGTAACCAGGAAGAGCAACAGTGTATTTTTCTGTGTGCAACAGCAATTTGGAGAAAATAAAACTTACCAGAATAAAGTATAACAATGACCCTGCACTCTTATTAGACCTTCAGATCCACTAAGGCAGATCTCTATAATTGTACTTTTAGCTGTCACTTCCTCAATAGTCTGCTCTTTCTAACCCCAGCCTTGAGGTTAAATAAAACAGGCTTATTTAAATAATAGTTAATCTCTAAATATCAGTATCCCAAAAATATAGACCATAAGTGGAATCTGGAACAAGATATAGTCCTATTCAGAACTGAACCAGGAAGAAGACTCGAGAAGGCCAATTCACCATTCCCAAGCCAAATTTTTCCTGTTCTGTTTTCAGTTTGATGATCAAAATTCCATAATTTGTAGAAACCAATGAGTATGCTTACCTGCTGTGATCTTTTTCATTTTAATACGTTTTTATTTTTTTATATTTCAAATTTAGCACATCTTGGATTTCATCCAACCATGCTGATAATTCCTCTTATTTTTCATGACCCTGTTTTGGTTCTTTACTCAACTGAGTTTGCTGTAAGAGGGAAAGACTGATTTTTCTCTCTCAAACTGTTCATTCCATGCTGGACCAGAACAATAACTAGAACTATATTCATGACGGACATGTTATTTATAATAGCAAATCAATAAGGGGGTTGCAAAAACCAAAATGGAATTTTGAAATAAAAAAGGCATACACTGATATTTGATAAAGCCCACCTCTTTTCTTATTAGCAATTCTGTCTTAATGGCTTGCACATGGAGGATATTTTACTGATCTTCCTATTGTGCACTTATGTTAGCTGATTCCTATGTAGAAAGTATTTTAAACATTTAATAGGTAAGTCACTTTCTTTAATATTTAGAGGGTTTTTTTTTCCAGAAATTTCTTATAATTCAAACTACAAAAATTAAGGTAAATATTCTCCATCTTTTAGATGGGGGCAGAAGGCACTGACGGTGCTTCTACAGGCCAGCACTGCCGAAAATTAGTTAGTTTTACACTCTCAGGTAAGTTTTGCTTATTTTTTCTCCCTTTGTTTTATTTTAAATCAGAGCATTATGACTTCTTTATAGGGAATTTTGCAGAGTGCGTACAAATCAAACAAATTTGATTGTACAATTTTAAATGGAAATTTAACTGAAATTTAAGTGGAAATTCTGTTGAAAACAATGGATTGGGTCCAGATTGCTTGGTAGAGTCAGGAGACTAGAACATGGAAATGCAAATAATGCCTTGTTGTGGCTGAGTACTTGAATGATTTGCCATGATTGTTAGGTACATTGTTTGTTGCATCAAGGAATAAAGATCTAAAATTAATATATCAAAGACCAAGGTAATTGTGTTTGACAAAGTGAACAATTGCAAATTATACATAAATGGTAAAAAAAAAAAACTAAAGGAAATAGATGAATTAATGTAGAATGTTATCTGAAGATGGGGATATAGATGGATAAAATTTAAGATATGCAAATAACAGTAGAAAGATCATGTGTAATATGTAGTCTTGTATGAGAAATGAAAGTTTGTTGAAAAAAGTGAAAATGCTGTGTATAAGTACATGCTTTTTTTACTTTGTTTTGTTCAAGTAAGAAATGTTTGTCAGCAGAAACAGGAGTGAGCTGAATGTAATGGGGAATCTGTTACTTATGAAATGTATATGGTAAAACAAGAAGAAATTGGGTCAAGAATGAATGAGTGATGAATGAACATGGATTGAATATAAAAATGAGCGACCAGTGTGAAAGAAATAATTTGAGGTAGCTCAGTTTTATAGAGAGAATGAATGAGGATCAAATTGTAAAACAGATATATGAAGGAAAAGTAAATGGATTGAGAGGAAGGAAGACTGAGTGTGCTGGCTGATAAGATTCATGAAAAAAAGAGGGATGAACAGTTTAAACAACAAAAAGTCAAGGTATGAACCAGTGTATGTCTATGTTGGAAACCAGGAGTGTTTGCAAGGACAGAAAAGTATGGAGAGATACAGTGAATAGTGTTGATGTAAACTAGATATACATTTTCTTTTTTTTTCCCTCTTAACATTTATCTTTAATTTATTTTGCTTACTGTGGTTGTTCTTCTGGGCTTTGCATAACATTGCTTACCACATGAGAGAATAGCATGATCTGTCTAATTTTTTAACACCACATTAAATGTCATTCACTTGACAGCAGGATGTGACCTAAATGAATCACAAGTGCCCTCTGTGCTGAAAAATAAGATATACATAAATAGCAATAGTAATACTTAGCAGATATAACGTAGCAGATAAAGGATACAGAAGGCATTGCCTAATTTTGCCACTTAATCATCGTTTCAAGACTGCAGTGTCGAAATAACCTTCTGCCCTCTGCATTAAAAAGTAAAATTCCAAATTGACATAAAAATCATTTTGTATACAAACCAAGCATATTTATGTCAAAGTTATATTTAGTTTTTCTTCAAATTAAGCTAATTGGTCACTCAGAAACATGGACTGGAATCTGTGGAATGCTACTAATATAAATGTAGGCCTTGTTGATATTTATTTTATTTTATTTATTAGTGAGATTTCTGTGCTGCTTCATTCTAGACTGGCTTTGAATAGTTAATTGACTCCTACGTCCCAACTTTGATGGGATTCAAACTTTGGAAACTGAACACTACAACAAATCTAGGTGTATGTGTGATTGGCTTAATAGTACAACCAATCTGCTCCTTTTTCATCTCTTTTAATATATAAAAATCTTTAATACATAAAGATTTTTAATTACAATAATAAAAACTAATGCAAACTAAATTCAGAAAGAGAAAGGAAAGTAAAAAGAGAATAAAAAGTGCAAAGAAAGAAAAAGAAAAGAAATATATAAAGAAGTGACTTCCAGTCTTCATCACAAGTACAAACAAGTTTGGTAGCTCTTCACTCCCTATAAGGTTAAAACTTTGTATTCCTTCCTTTTACTTCTGAAAATCTTCATCTTTAGTTCATTCAAATATTGTCATAGGATTTGATCTCTCTCCAATTCTTCTTTGTCCCATCGCATACGCTTCTTTGAGACTAACAAGCTTCTTTTGTAAATCCAATAAAAATACATTATACAAGTCATTCTCTTGATTTGTCATTTGCATTTCCCATTTAATTTCTAAAACTTCAGCCAGCTTCTTTTATATATCCAGTAAAGAGTCCTTATCCAGGTCATTTTCTTGGCCTGTCACTTGAATATCCACTTTAAATGCCTTTTCTGTCTTGTAATCCACACTTATTTAAAAATCCAATATTCCTGATTCCACTATTTCTGCATCAAGCAAGATTTGTTTCACATCTGTCGTTCCTTCATTAACATCCTTTAATCATTCATTCATTCATTCATTCATTCATTCATTCATTCATTCATTTAAGCAATTTACATGGCTGCCCAACTCATGGTGACTCTGGGCAGTTTACATAGGTTATCTATCCATAGAAGCAGACATCATTACTGATATTGTTGATATTGTGGCTACTAATTTCTGGCCCCATTTTTTGAAGATCTCCTTTAATATTTCAAATGTTATAGTATTTTGTGTCATTTTGTAAATCCCAGTCCTAATCAAAAACAAAGGTAGGTTTTTTTTCTTTTTGCTTGGAATCTTTAGTCCCATCTAGTGTCCAATTTAAATCATAAGATCTCTAATCTCTGTTATGACTTACAGTAGACAAAATAATTCTGGTTCCCATGAAAAGCTATTTATTTTATATAATTAGTTCCAAAATCTTAGAGTAAAAGTTTCAATATTCCAAATTTGTCTGGACCCTTAATTCATTTATAACTTTCTTGGTTAAAAATCCTATTTAGCTTTTTGCCACTTATTTCAAATTCTTTAAGTTCTTAAACTCATAGTTAATTTTTCTTTTGCTCAGAAATGAAGATAGACTCACAAGGTGGCTTTTCAAACTTGTCATTCTAAAGATCTCTATTAGCTTTAAGATGGTTAGATGAGCAATTTCTAAAAGTGATTAGAAGTGAGGCTAGCAAATTTAGTGTCCTTTAAAAAGTTCCACTGTGGCTGTGAGCCTGATGATTAATCCCTTCTGCTCCTGGCACTCAGACCCACAGGAGACCACTGTCCTGTGGTCAGCTTACAAGGAGCAGCCATCTGGTGCACATGTGGGCAATCTCCCATCCTCTCCGTATAAGGAGAGGTTCTGAAGGACTGGTCTACTGATTGGTTCTTCAGACTTTGCTATGGTGGTCATCTCTGTTCTCCACAGAGATGTGTTTAGTTCACCATGCCTCCACCAGAAGTCCTCTTTTACCTAATTTCTAATAAGTTCAAGCTGCTAACAGAAAAACTGCAAAAGCCTGCTGTTGTTAGATGTCTAATTTTAATTGTTCTTCTGGAATCATTCAAAATAGTTTTGGGGTTTGTGACAGCTTGGCTTAGAGTCTGAAACTTGATTGGGATTCATAGATCACCAAAGTTGATGTTTTTGAATTAAAACTGCTACTGTCTATCTTGTTATATTTAAAAGGCTTGTAAAAGTAAACATTAGCATGATCATGAAAAAGTAATTCTTGCAGTAAAATCTTGTGTAAAATCTATGTTATTTATGTATAATATGTGTGTGTCTGTGTGTATACAAATACTGCACTAATGGCAATGTGTCTGTGGATGACAATTAGTACAGATACTCCATGGGTAACATAAAACTTGAATTGCATAAATTCAACTTCATGAAAATGTTTCCATAAGCCACATCTAGAGTGTGTAACACTTTGCATTACATGTGGAATATAAAGTTGTGCAGCTCATGAATGGATACAGTGTACCCAACTTATGCAAAATTTGATTACACAAGGTTTCCCAAATAGAAAGGTCATATAAGTTGGGGAGGACCTGCATATGACATCTCCTGCACTTCTTTTGTCTCAAATCTCTAGTTCCAGCTGTTTTTTTTTTTCCTTAGAAGAGTTATTTTTGGTCTAAACGTTCCATTGAATAAACAGTTTTTGACAAATAACATTTTAGGAAAAAAGTGTTCTGGGAAAATATTTTTGGCCTTCAAAGCCCTGCCTCTTCTGTAATTAACTTTTCAGCTTCTCTTGCTATGATACTGGCCACAGCTTAGTTTTGCTTCACTGATCTGTTCCAATCACATCTAACAATCTTATTGAACAACTGTTAAAGTCACATCTAATATCCAAATGAATGCACAAGATATTTCTTTCCATAAATATGAAAGTGACTTACATGGTAAAATGTGATGCTATTTCAATTCTGTAGATTTCCTCAATATCTATATCTATATATCTATACCTTTTAAGGAAAGAATGTAATTATGGTTATGTATTTAAATTCAGAACACATCTATATTAAGTTCCAGATACATCTTTTAGGAGTTCAGTCTAGTGATCTGAAAAGTGAAAGGCAATTGCAAATTTAGAGACGCTAACATTATGCCACAGTTACTTTATACATGAAAAAAATAGGATGGATTTTAAACCTAAAGCTATTAACAAAATTCAAAATACCTCATGGTTCATTTTATGATATAGTAAGTCAAAGTTTATGTTGGTGTGGAAAGCTGATAAAAGGTAAGTTTACAAGTTAAATTGAGAAACCAGCTGTAAAAAGATATGGTCGGATATGTATATCTGCCTTCATTTTGAGAAATTATTTACTCAGAAACATTTGATTCAGATCTCAAGGAAGTAATTTTTGTCTAAAATACCTCTTTCTCAAAGCAGACTGGTGCCTTTAGCTTTGCATAAAATAGAGATGTCTTTGGACCCACAAATGAGGAGGCCCATATGTCAGTTTAGTTCACCAGCACCTGCACCTTCACTAAGACGAAGCAGAAAATCCTTGTCTATGTGTTTTGTAGAAGGGTGAATGCTTTGTATGTCACTGGAAAAATTGGAAGAAGGAAGCTTCCCTCTCCTTCTCATTTCATAGCAAGGTGTTTTAGAGAAGTTAAATTAAAGAAATTAAAGAAAAGAAAAAAGTAGTAACAGCTGGGAAGGAGAAACAATAGAGATGCCATTGCAAATTCTGACACATCTTTCCAGTGCCCACTATGAGCAGAGCTGAGGATCTCTCACCTACTTTTATCTGCCCTCCCCAGCCCCTCTTGTCCCCCAGATTCTGCTCTGAAGTTCCCTCCAATGAAGCAGCTGTTAAGGACATGTGAAAAGTTGCTGCAAAGGGAAGGAACTGCTCTTCCCTCCCTAGTACAAGGGAGCAATTTATCAGCAAGAAAACTTAGTTGGATATCACCCAAAGTTGTCTCGGCTGACTTTTTCACCCCGTTCCTTTCCCCCCCCCACCAGCATGGATAATGTTTTCCAAGGCCAGCAGCCTTATGCCACATTGATGTGATATTATATAATCAGACAACCCTGAAGGTATGAACCTCAGCAGCCTTTCTGAGATGGTGAGCCAGAATGCTGCTGTTGCTTAGGCTTTTGGACAAATGGCCACCTTGCTCCAAAACATTTCCACTATAGTAATTTGTTCAAAATAAAGATGGCAACTTTAAAATTAAGGACAGAACAAAACAAAACAAAACAAAAACTGGATACCTTAATACTGTACGATGTACAATGCACAGGTATAATGGCATAGCCCCACTCAGAACTTGAAAAACAGCCAGTGAAATGGTTGATTTGTATAGAGAATAGTGATTAAATCACAATGCTGCAGGCATTCTCAAATTGGAAATAGTGGGTATTTAAGTTAAATAAGTTAAATATTTTAAATTAACAAATGCCATATGTACATGGCACTTTTTGCTCCTCTTAATCATGTGTATCTGTTTCTATATTGCCTTTGCAAATAATACGTCGTTTTGAAAGTTTCAGCACAGGGGTGCATATACAATTAAAAAAAATTCTTCCCCCAGTTTTTAAACACGTTGAAAGATGAATGAGAAGATTAATGTTTCATATACATTTAAAATAATGCTGTAATTTTTTCTTTAAACTTGTTTTTTACATTTTTAACGGACAATTTGTTTCTCCTGGCAAGCGTCTCTAGAGAGAGGCTCCATTTATCCACTGTTAGATTCTCATTTCAGTGTAATGAATTACTTCTAGCCACCGCAGCACAGCTGGTATCAATATACATATAAACATCTTTTATAAACAGAAGTTAGGGCTGAAAATGTCATTGGCACTTCCCTGAGAAAACTGATTGGATGCATACTTTCTAAATTATTAATTCTGAATTACTGGTTTAACAGGAAATCTTTTGTATATGGCATTGCTTGATGAAGAAATAAATCTGCTATAGGATCTCCAAGATTTTACATCTCCATCTATGTTTTATTTCATAGTAATGCAGAATTATATCAACAGCGTACAGAGTTGGTGAGACGTAATACTGTCTTATACTAACAAGTTCTCAGTTTTATGTAGCTTCTGGCTATTACCTTACAAAATGATACAAACTTTCTAACAACAGAGATAGCTTTGCTGTTATGTTCTGAAAGAGATTGCCTTGCTACTTTGGGTTTATGAGTTCAGTTTATTAGAGCTAAAATCTCTCATGTAATTTTGGGTGGTCAAGATGGATTTCCATTCCTGCTTTAATCTCCGGCAAGATTTTTCATCCTGGACCAATAGATAGTTATGCTTTTCCCTAGTTTTCTTTTGTTAACATCTACAACCTGTTAACTATAACTTATTGAAGCTTCAAGGAACTATGGGTATTATCTAGAATTGTATTGCAAAACTCATGCACACAGCTCGTGCATAATGATTCCAATCATTTTTTAAAATACTTTAACACAGTCAAAGTTTATCTTTGACTGATAGCTCTCCTTATTCTTTTGCTGCTGTTCTGCAAATTTAGCTTCTTCCCCACTGTGGAAAATTATGTATCAACACACATTACTAAGAACTAATGAGCACAGCCCAGTTTGGGGCTTGTTTTCAAACTAGAGTGTCATAGAGGCTGGTTCATCATTTTGAATGGCTTTGGCATACATGTAGAACACTAGTATGTCCATGAAATGGTTCATTTTTTAATCACCACCTCACTAGTATAAACAAATTGAATGTGAGCTATGAATTTTATGTAGCAGCATTACCCAACATTATGTCCTCCAGCTATCTATTCAGCTTTCACAATTCCCTGCTAGTGTGACCAGTAAAGTCTATATAAAAGCAAAGTGTTATGTTGTTGGAACACTTAGTGGTAAATTGGAAAAATAATTTTTAACAAGTATGCTTGATGTATTTGTTTTATTATTGTTCTTTTTCCTCTTCTGTCCTTTAAAGATATTAGAGCCATTGGACTTAAAAAAGGAATGTTCTTCAATCCTGATCCTTACTTAAAGATGTCCATTCAGCCTGGAAAAAAGAAAACATTTCCTACATTTGCACACCATGGGCAGGAAAGGCGGTCCAATATTATCAGTAATACGACTAATCCTATTTGGCATAGAGAGGTAATAAATGGTTTTGAAGAAAACTTTAAAGTTATAGTGCTAATACTAGGGCTGCAGATCAGCATGTTCTTGCTTTTGGTTAAGAAGCAGGGTGCAAAAACCAATTTTTGGTGGTATTTACCTGGACATACAGTAGTAAGAGAAAGTTTGTGAACTCTTTAGAACTATCTGTAATCCTGCAGTATCGTGACCTACAATGTGATCAGAGCTTGCTAAGTCCTAATGTTGTTACTGAATACATTGAGCCAACATTAGCTGTCTTTGTTGGAGAAAATATGTGAAGCCCTACCGTTTAAGGGGGTTAATTGAGTGGGATATTCCACTCAATCACAAGACAATCAGGTGGGAGTTTGAGAGGCCCTTCTCTACTAAAAAAAATCCCTCGTGCCGGTTGGGTGCCACCACTGGAATCTGCTCTTCATGACACAGGTTTGTAGAAGTCAATCATGCCCTGATAAAAAGAGAGATCTGTAGACTTCAGAAAAAGTGTCAGTGTTTCTGAGGTTGAAACGGGCTATGAATCTATTGCCAAAGACTTTGGCCTCCTTCAATCCAAGGTAGGGAGATAATATACAAATAGAGAAAATGCAACATCATTGTCACTCTTCCCAAAAGTGTTCATCAGACAAAAATCACCACAAGAGCAAGGTGTACATTATGGGAGGTTGCAAAGAACTCCAGAGTTATGGCAAAAGATCTACAGGCCGCTCTTATATTATCTGATGTCAGGGTTCAAGAATCTACCATAAGTAAAACATTGAACAAGAGTAGTGTATGTAAGAGGATACTGAGCAAGAAACCACTGTTTTCCAGAAAACACACTGCCACTTGTCTGAAGTTCATCAGAGACTGCCTGGATGATCCAGCAGGCTATCGGAACAATGTTCTGTGAACCGATAAGACAAAAATGGAACTGTTTGTCATTTATGAAAAATGTTATGTTTGGAGAAAATGAAATGCTGCATTCCAACAAGAGAGCCTAATCCTAGTCATGAAGCATGGCTATAGGAGTATCATGGATTGGTACCACTTTTTAATCTTAGAATATGCATGGCTCACAATCACGAGGGGAACATTGGTGATAAAACATAGGATGTTCTAATATAATCATACTCTTCTAAGGAATGGCTAAATCCAAGCTTATGTGAAGTCTTTGTGGCTGAATGTTTTATACTTGTTCTGCTTCAAAAACACTCTCAAACAGTTGCCAATGAATATTGTGGAATCTGGATTATGGTAATTCATGTCTGTGTAGAAATAATGCTTTTAAAATGTTGCTGAGCAAATAATAGGTATAATATTTGATCTCCATTGCTTGTGTTATGAAATTATATCTCTATATATTTTATGTTTGCAGAAATATTCTTTTGTAGCACTTTTAACCGATGTCTTGGAAATTGAAATCAAAGATAAATTTGCCAAAAGCCGTCCTATCATCAAGCGTTTTCTTGGAAAGCTCACTATACCAGTCCAGAGACTATTGGAAAGACATGCAATAGGGTAAACAAATATATTTTCTTTGTTCATTTTAAGCCTATCTGAAGGAAAGGGAAGATTGTTTTCCCTTGAAAAGACTTAAATATTTGGTGTGAATTTATTTTATTTTAAATTCGTAAGTTTTTCTCTCATATATTGTCTCACTCTTTCTTCACAGTCCCCCATATACCATTTTAACAACTTTTTTTTAATTAATATGTGCTGATTGTAAGACACGGGTTCATACAGTAGTGTGCAAATTTATTTAAAACATTATTGTCTTGTTTCTTATACAGTTCAAATATTTTAAGTTATTATTTCATTGATGAAAAATGCAACTAAATTCAGTAAGTTTAGAACAACGCTAATGTAATCATAGATCCATTCTCTCTACAGCTATTTTGTAAGCTTTGAATTATTTTTTTCCAATCAACAGGTCAATACATTTATAAAGTTAATTTGCTTCT